GTTTGTTTGTGTTACCAACTCCTTGCATGCAGGAAAGCAAAGAATGACAGAAATTTTTTAAAAAAAAGGTCATGAATTCAGATGGGAAACCCCGAACCTTATATCATTCCCAAAGCTCTGCCTTCAGAGATGGGTCTTTATCACATCAGAAGGTGGAGTTTGGAGGCCGTAGGAAGGAGCACTGCCGCAGGGCCTGGCTGTACCACCTGCACCTGAGTGCACGAGATGCTTGGCTACCAAAATCCTACCAAAATCGCTACTGCCAGTGACAGGATGGGCCCTGCTGGACAGCACAGCTCGCAAAACCCATCTCCCGCTTTCTTTGAATTGCTGCAAAAGGATCAGACTCAAACTCTAACTATTGGGTCTTCCTTTTATAATAGTAAAAAAAAACAACTTGGAGGAGTCAGGTTTTCCGAAGGGTGGGTTTTGTATGCTGGGGGCAGGAAGGAGCCACACGCTGCCCCAGCTGTTCAGCGGGAGATACCCACATGGTGCTAACAAGGGTCAAGGTTGACCTTCCAGCCTAGTGGCGCTCACCTGCAAGCGATACAAACTAACTGCAAGATAACCATAAGAGCCCTTGTTTGCTGCACGTACGGCACTCTGAAGGCATTCTGCGTAAAGACAGCGGTTGCCAATAGGAAAAAAACAACCGGCACCAAAAACCTTCATGCCTTTCCTTCCTTTTCTGCCGTCAAGTTATGCTTGATTAAGATCCAGCAGAATGTTCCCACACTCGCACCAAAACTCTCATGTCATTTTCCCAGTTTTGTACGTTTCCTAGCAAATTTTCGGTGCCTGAACGCTGTTTCCCACTCTCTTGCCCAATCCCAACCAAGGACACGCATGGGGAGGGCTCACTGTACCCTTGAGTCAGCAGTGCAGGAAATAGGTTGTCCTGCACCCGGCCAGAAGGTCAATGCCGCGCATCCTTCCTCCCTAGCACCCATCTTCCTTTCCCTGAGCCCCACACCAGCAGCAGGAGGTGCTCCCTCCTGCCCTCATGAGAAGCACCAGGGGTATGGCACCCCTAAGCCAAGTGTTCAGCAACATTCGCATTTGCCCTGGTGTTAGACTGAGCCTACAGACCAATCTCTGGTGGCTTATAGATGAGGAATGGCTCTACTTCAGCCTGGCAAAATGGGAAGGACATTGTGCTGCCATTTCGTATTTTGGTCTTGAAGGACCAACACCAGTTCACGCCTCAAGGAAAGCCCCGTACAGCAGGCAAGCCCCAGCCTTGGATGGTAAAGAGATTAGACCTGCGTAAACAGGGAAGTCTTGGGAAAAAAAAGAATTTAGGAAGTTCGTGTCCTTTACATGGTACCACTATTTAGCCGCATATCGTCTCAAAACCTTTTCATACATCTCCTGCCTCCAAATAGCTATCAAGAAATAGGCACTTAGAGATGGAGCTCCTAAAGATTTATACATAGATCCTGACAATGTAAGCTGTATTTCTTTCTGAGTTGCGTAGCCTGAGATTTGTGAAGGTTAAATGTGCTCGACATGTCACCCTTGATACTCCTTACTTGCCAAGTGCAGTTTGTGTTAAATTCACACTCTGCATCTCGGGCCCCAACGCACACAATGCGGCTTCCTCAGACACCAAACGTTTTCCATTCCCATGCAGCCCAGACCTGCAACAAGGGCCTCAGCACTTCCCGAGCCCACCCAAAAAAATAGCTTGCACTATTTTATTTGCAAATTTACTTTTAAAACTTCTGTTTAAGGAGATTTGATTAAAATGCAGCTATAAAGAACTTCCTAATGGTTTTATTGTATATCTATGGGACATGCGCTGACATGTTAAGCGGGAACGGATTAATTCCTACATATCAAAGAGTCACTGCTCCCAAACCACTGGCCAGAGTAATCTTTAGAAAGAAATAGAACATTAGATATTTAATCAATTATTACAGAACCGATTTCCGTAATCAATTTTATTAACTCCCTAGAAAGATGCAGATCATTTTCTCCCAGATTCATTCATACACCTAGGAGATATAAGGGATATTTCACTTTGATCACACTCTACCCAGCCGCACCAAAGGGACTTGGTCTAACCTGAGGTGCCCAAGTGATAGGAAAGAGCCCTGGAATACAAGAGCAAAAGGATAAGCCCAGCAAATATTCACAGCTGAACACAAGGAGCTCTAAGTTCGTAGAGCTGAAATTGTCCCTATCTTGCTGCAAGTCAACAACTCTTAGGTCTGGTGTTTGCCTGCCCCATGTCAGCTCACGACACCAACGCCACGCAAGGAATTCACCATGCTCCTGCTACCAGAAATATGCAGATCTTTCACTCCAAGGCACTGCGTTGGGCATGGCTTTGCCAGAAGCAGCCAGGAAGAACACGATGAAATTATTGCAATCAACAGCATTGCCCAGACAAAACCACAGCGAGGATCTGAGAGCAGATGATACTCCTTCCCCATAGGTCTGCTGAGCGCTGAAATCACTTCAACAACTAACAGCAGTACTACCTTTCTCTGTAGGGCTTTGGCACAAGTTTTCTCGGGATCAAGGCTTATCTAACTCCCCTAGCTGGAACATACCATGAAACACAGCAGAAATAATGAGCAACTCTTCTCATAGCAAGAACTGCTTCATTAGGATTCCCCCATAACAAGAAGTAAAATTCAGAAGGCAATTAACTCCAAGACTACACTACCTACAGCCTGTCCCAGAGCGGCCAGCAGGGCCTGGCCCAGCAGTTCCATGCTTCCTACAGCCCAAACCCATGCAGGCTGGGATCAAACCGGCAGGTGGGGGTCAGCATCTCCCTACTTTAGGCCTTTAGTCTGGGGAGATCACGGCCCTCCTGCAAACACCTGCACTGTTGGGAGAAAGGTTCCTTCAGCGAGAAGGAAATTGAGCTGCTCGTGAAATTAACACATTTTCCTCCTTTTCTACCAGCTTGCTCCTTGTTATTTCACTGACCAAGAAGAAAATAACTCAGAGACAGCACTGACACGGCTGCACGGCAGATTCCTGCCACCAACTCAGCCCAAGTTCTCCAAGGGTTTCCCTCACGCTCCACGATGCCGTTACACCAGAACCCCACAACGAGTTAGCGCAGCTAACAGAATAAACCAATTTGGGGACCCTACCCACGGCAGCGTTTACAGCTCTCCCCCGAACCAAATTAAACTCCAATTTCAAAAAGTTCTTAGGTCTTAATCCCTCATCTATCGCCTAGTCATAAAAAGACAAACAGAGACATAAAAAGTACAAACCGAGAGGCCTCGGAGCAGCCGGTATGGAAGTTGGCTGCATACGCTCCGGCAGTCGGGACGCAGGTTGCCGATAATTTAACGGGAAGCAAAAAGCGCCCGCGGTTCTACTTCTTACAGCAGCTCAACTCGCGGGCTGCCGATACCTCTCCTATAGGTAATACTCCGTCCAGCCCCCCGCGCAGCACCGTCGCTAAAGGTGAGACGCACGGAAAAGGAACGCGAAACGGAGCGGCGGCGCTCCGGCGGGGAGAGGCGGAGGGGAGCTCCCACGGCCGTGCCCCGCGGCCGGGCAGGGTGCGGCGCTCTTCGGGGCTCCCCGCGGCTGGCACCTGCCCGGCCCGGCCCCCCGCCCGCCGCCCCCTTGGTCCCGGGGCTCCCCCCGCCCCGAGGGCTGCCCCGAGCGCACCCCGCCTCAACTCCGTTTCGACGCGCGGCAAAGCGCTCCCGGCCGGCAAAAGCCCCGAAGATCTCCGTCAAGGGGAAAGGGGAAAGTTAAAGCCCCCCGCCACAGCGAACAGCGACCGACCGGCCCGAGAGCAGCGCTCCCCCTCCCGTGCCCATCTCGGTGCTTCCATCCCTCTCGGCCGCTCGGTACCCACCGCCCCGCGCCGCTCCCGCACCCCGCGGCTCGTCCCGGCGTCGGGAACGCAAAAGTGACCGCGATTAGGAGAAGGAGACTGAAAAGTCCCTGCCCCTCCCGGACGGGGTTAAAAAGGAGAAGTGGCGACACGCAAAGGACGGGCAAACCGGGGAGACAAAAAGCCGGGCGGCAAGAAACGAGACAAAGGGGAGTCTCGCAGGAGTTTAAAGCGAGGGATGGGGAACTTCGGAGGGAGCGCCGAACAACAGAACGGAGCCGTGGAGCCCCGAGAAGCGCTGCGGGGACGGAACAAAACGCGGCCGCGGGGCGGGGGGAGCGGCGGGGCAGCATCGCCCGCAGTGCGCGTCCCTCGCGGAGCGCTGCCCGGGGAACCGCCGGCGCTCGGGGCTGAAGTCGCGGCAGTTTCGCTCCTCGGGAAGAGGAGAGCGGTGCCGGGAGCGGCGTTTTGCCGCTATTCGTTATTTTTCTAGCGGAAAAAAAGGAAAAAGAAAAAAGAAAAAAAAGAAAAAAGAAAGAAAAAAAAAGAAAAAAAAAAAAGAAAAAAAAAAGAGAAGAAAAGAAAAAAAAAAGAGAAAAGGACTGGAAAAGCAAAAGAAATGGGAAAATAAGGGGGTGAGGAAAGGAAGAGAGCATACTTACTCCGTGCAAAGGCGATGAAACTGAGCCTCTTTTTTTTGCCGCTGGACAGAGAGCGAGGCGGCCCGGCACATGCACACCGCACGCACACACACACGCACACACACTCACACACGCACAGACACACGCGCGCGCACACACACGCGCACGCACGCGCGGCCGCTGAATATTGTAATTGGGCGAAGGGAGGGCGAACGCGGGCGGCGCGGGGCCGGGGTGTGCGCGGCGCGGGGGCGGCGCGGAGCGGAGCGGGCACGGAGCAGCGCGGAGCGCGGAGCGGGGCAGGGGCAGGGCTGGGCTGGGCCGGCCGAGCCGAGCGAGCGCTCCGCACCGCCACAAGATTTACTTTAAGACACAGCTGAAGGAAACAGGAAGACTACACGTCACGGGCCGGGTGACGTGAGCCCGGCCCGTCGCCCAATCGGAGGGCTCCTTGCGACGGGCCGGGGGGGGACCGGGGAGCACTTGGCAGGAGCGGGAGAGGAGCGAGGGGGCGGCGGGGGGAGCGCGGGCCCGCCCCGTCCCCGCGGGAAGGTGGCCGCGGCCGCGCACCTGCGTGGGGCAGACGGGACGGAACGGGACCGGACCGGACGGGGCGGGGGGAAACTCCGTGGAAAGTCGGCCCCGGTGGGGCTGAACCGCTCGGGGTTCCCGCGTGTGGGTCCGGAGCTCGGCGCCGGGGGGGGGGGGTCCGGGAGCGGAGCGTCGCGGAGCGTCGCGGAGCCGAGGGGCCGAGCGATCGGCGCTCCCAAAGTTTTGGGGAACTCTGTCCCGTCCCGAGCTGTAACTGCAGTCTGCTGCCGGCCGCTTTAAATCTCTGGGAGAAAATGATTTCTGGTGGAAGAAGCGGGGATGCTCGTGGCATCTCCCCGCTGCCGGCGCAGAGTGAAAGTTCGCACGGGGAATGAAGGGAGAGGGAACCGCGTCGTGCGCGGGGAGCGGCGGGGAGGACGGGGAATCCCGGCCGAGGAGATCCGGAGGTGCCCCCCATCCGCTGCGGGAGCCGCGCGGTGGGGCCATCCTTAGAAACGGGGGCGCCGGGACTCAGCCCGGTTACACGTGGAGGTTCCTTCGGAGCGGGGAGCGCTGCGGGGCTGAGCGATGCGCTGGGGGGACATGAGCGCGCTTGAGTTCTTTCCCCTTTTATTATTGTTAATTTAAAGGACACCGAGATCCGCGTAAAGGTGAAGCCGCGCGGTGCCGATTATACATACACAGCAGCCCTTGACAGCGCCTTGTCACTTTTGGGGCTCAGCGTCGCTTCGAGCGCTGTCGAGGAAACGCAGTCACCCAATGAGGAGCGAAGGGAAACTGAGGCATGGGCTGTCCCAGGGGCACGCAGCCCCCCCGGCCCCACTTCGCGCTGCCACATGCTGTCCTCCCACCCCGCATTCTCCTCATGTCCCAGCACAGCAGTTCGTAGAGTAACCCTGCGGCTGCCTGAATGGTGAGCGCTTGGGATTCTACCTCTTCCCGCCCCCAGTTAATTCAGAGTGATGAAGTTTGGATCCAAAGCCATGCTCAGGTGTGGGAGCTCTGCTCCTGCCCTCGCTTTGATGCTTGTCACAAAGTTCGGATCACGGCGCCGCGTTTCCTACAGACCTGGGGCTGTGCTCAGCTGCGAGCTTCGGCCCCTCAGAAATAAATCCTTCTTCAAATTCTGGTGCCTCTGACGAGGAAATGAGTGCTGCGAGCTGACAGCTCCCTGCATTCGCATCTCTGTCTTCTAGAGGGGAAAAAAAAAAGAAAAAAAAAAAGAAAAGCAGATGCGAGAAACTTAGGAAAACTTTTGAAACGTGCCCTTGGCCATGGGTGATCCCCCTGCTCCTTTGGAGGATGGCAACAGGATTGGAAGTGACAAGGGCTCACTGTTGGAAGTGCCTTTTCTTTGATCACTCTCCTCGCTGTGTCTGCTCACTCCGAGTGAGGGGAAGGGCTGTGCGAGCGCTTTGCCGGTTTTCTTCTCTTTTTCTTTATTTTTAAAGGGGTGAGGTATATCCGAGCATTTCGTATGTAAAGAACACCCCCCGTCACAAGGGCCTGATCCTGCTTTTATTCACGCCTCTGTGAATTCATCCGGGGAGCATCACCAGCGCGTGTGCGGGGCAGAGCAGCGCTGGGTGCGGGTGAGCGTTGCTGCGGAGTCTGAGACTTTCTCAGCCCCTCCTTGCAGATAAATCCTTGGAGGAAGATGCACCAAAGGTGCCTCAGCACAGTGTAATTTAATTCAAGAAGGTGGTATTGATGAAAACTGTTAAAAAAAAAAAAAAATGGCGGGGGGGGGGGGGGGGGGGGGGGAAGAAAAGAAAAAAAAGAAAACCTCCAGAGAAGAGAAAGTGACTCAAACTAATCCTATTAAACGTGGTAGCATGTTTCTGTGCAGTGCGCTGAGAGATTAAGCACAGGAAAAGGGATAAGTGCTGCTTCAGTTTCACTAAACTAATGTGACAACTTGTCATTGGAAATCTTTACAGCTTGTTAGCAGATGACTAGCTGATTCAGATATGTTTTCTACCATTTCCTTTGTGTCTGGGGGAGGTGTTTTTTCTTTCCTGTTCCTTTCTTATCCATACTGCTCTATTCTGCCTTTTAATCCTTCATGTCTCCTTCAAGTCAAAACATTTAACTTGCTTTAATCAATATTTTGTTTTGAAGATGTCCCCTGACCTTTTGTTTGTGCAAATTAACCTTCAAGGGCACCTCATTCATTCATTAACCTCAGTGGGATGCCATATCCCTCGGACATTGCATTTTAGGTTGCATAAAGCATTTATGAATGTTTGGCAATATTGTAGTGAATGGCGGTAATACAGCTGCTATTCCTACTGCTTCTAATGATACATTCATTGTTCTCTCCTCTCCTCTCCTCTCCTCTCCTCTCCTCTCCTCTCCTCTCCTCTCCTCTCCTCTCCTCTCCTCTCCTCTCCTCTCCTCTCCTCTCCTCTCCTCTCCTCTCCTCTCCTCTCCTCTCCTCTCCTCTCCTCTCCTCTCCTCTCCTCTCCTCTCCTCTCCTCTCCTCTCCTCTCCTCTCCTCTCCTCTCCTCTCCTCTCCTCTCCTCTCCTCTCCTCTCCTTTCCCCTTCCTTAGCACTCCCCCACCACTAAAGACATGATGATGGTTGAGTAAATGGAAAAAAACACTTTTCAACATTAAAGGAAGAGTGTTTGGAAAAGGAAGGCCCTGCTGAGGTGTAGAGGAAGCCTGTTTATTAGCACTGGACACCTCTTATCTCAGGCAGCTCCAGATGGATGTCCCCTTGGCAATTCCCACTCTGCCAAGTGGGGTTAAGCAGGGTGAGCACCTTGACGTGGGCTGGTGATCACCAGGGGATCATTGGCTTCTTCAGAGAGAAATTTTACCAGAAGCCAAGTGTGGGGGAGGGAGAGCATCAAGCCCCAGCATAAAAGCTTGCACGTGGCCAGATTTACTTTTTGTGGCTGTTAAATTGCTTGCCCCTTGGGACAGAGCCAGGTTTTGATTGAGAGATAAAGTAGTTCAAATCTGTCAATAATTAACTGTCACTCAATTAAGGGTTTCTTAACAAATTAGCACTTGGTAGTATCCAAGGTGCAGAGTTTTTCATGGGAAAAAAGCTGACAGAGTGACATTGGCCACTAAGTTGACCTGCCCAGTGAGGATTGCCTCATGTCCAGCTCAGCTTTCACACCATTGTGTAAACCTTGGGAACCGGTTTCTAAACCCCATTAGGTCCCTGTTGACATTAACCCTTTGTGCTTTACTGAGCTAGGCAATGTGGGACTGGGTCCACTACGTCAGAGCTGTACATAGGGGCAATGAAGTACTTTTGGTGTCCATTTGGTAGTGGACATTTACTCATTTCCTTCCATCCCTTTCTAAACTTGCTATGACATTACGGGCTCAAGTCGCACCAGGAGAGGCTCAGGTTGGGTATTCAGACAAATTTCTTCTCACAAAGAGTGAGAAGCATTGGCACAGGCTGCCCAGGGAGGTGGTGGAGTCACCATCCATGGAGGTGTGTGGGGATGTGGCGCTGAGAAACATGGTTAGTGAGCATGGTGGGGATGGGTCAGCGGTTGGACATTAGTGGTATTTTCCAACCTTAATGGTTCTGTGGTTCTATGATAATCCTGTGGACGCACCACTCCACTTTTCCCTTAATTCTCCCTTGACAAATCATCAATGAATGTCAGATGTTGGCCAGATCCAGCCATGGCCCCAAGGCCATGCAGGGTACAGTACCAACACTGCTAGGCCAGGGATCCCCACAGACACTAATGGCAGCAAACCATGGGCTCTGGCAGCTCTAGCCATGGGCTAGTCCCTTCATTTGTCCCTGCTGAGGAGGGGTCTGGCCCTGTGTGTTAGAAAACCCTCTGCCCCTTGTCAGATGGGATTTTCACAGCATCACACCTCTGGGAGGTGGGAACACCAAATCCCTTCAGAAGTCAAATGCAAATCTCTAGCAAATGTAGACCGTGAGGTGGGAGCTGATTTAATTCCATTTCTGTTCCTCCAGTAGAGGTTTCTACTCAGTATGGTTAGGTGACATCAACAACTCATCCCAACACAGCCTTCCTCCCATTAACCCTATCACTAGAGCTGCTGGAGAGGGGTGGCTCTTAGCCAGAGCCACTGTGGCTTAAAAACCCAACTGTTTCAGCAGCCTCCATGGGTAGGGGTTAGAGGCACATAACAATGTGCCGTGGGCTGCACTGTCCTGGTACTTGTATGAAAAGTCTCAAGAAGTTTGAAGCAGGGGAGGAAAAAGCACATTTAGTCATTTAAAACCATACTTGACCCTGCTGAATAATCAAACTGCTATTGAGCAGAAATGTTGTTTGGCTTTATAGGTTTACATTCTGTTGATTGTGTTCTTAAGAGAGAGAAGGATATTTCTATAGAGGGATTGTAACTTGGGGGAATTTTTTAACCTGGATGATTTTTTTTTTTTTCACCAAATTAATGTATTTTTACATTATACAGTGACAGCTTTAAGAAGCCTTCCTCCTCTAGTAAAAATCATTCGTATGATCTGAAGAATGTATATCATCTCTCACCTTTAAGGATGCAGTGCTGCAAGAGATGGAGGAGCATTTTTTTTCTTGAGCTGAGAGGCATCTAGTAACAATTTAAAACAGTAGCCTCGAGGCTACACTGTTTATTTTAGCAGGATGCAGCTGCTTGGGATGTTCTGTAGGTACTGAATAAGCCAAAGGATTTGGGTGCCTGAAGCAGAACATGGGGTAGCTGTAGGTATCTGTGTGCAAGCTGCCACTGCAGCTCATCCCACTCCAGGGCCACTCTCTGAGTGCTGCCTCTGTGCCCAAGTAAGGGGCAGCAGGGAATGGTGCTCTCTGAAGTCCCGCCAGGGGCCAGTGCACGTGCCTCCTCCACGCTTAGGGGCTCTGGCAAAAATGCGCTCAGTTCTGCTTTCTCTGCAAGATGTCCTCATGGTGGTGTCAGTTCCCATCTTTCATAGGATAGCCTACAAGTGAGGGTGTATGTCCTAGCGGGGGGAAATGTGCTTTTAACACTTTCTTCATCCCGAAGGCAGGCAAAGTGGTGGCTCCCTTTTCCCACAGAAATGCCTCAGCCATCAGGCTGGGAAATGGGATGATCTTTTCCCCTTGTTTCGGGGTTGTGTCTTGCTGCAGAAAGGAACCAGACTATCAACGAGCTGTAAGGAGAGGAAACGAGACAGCCTGAGTTAGTGAGAGGTGCTTACAGTGGACTGAGGGAGCAGCACTCAGCATTCGGAGCGCTGTACTTCTGCCCATGACAGACAGCACTGTAAGGCAAAGTATATCTCTAGCCCAGCTGTTGACATGCCTCTGGGGCATGGTGCCCATGTTGCCCCTCTTCCTGCCCTCAGCAGCCTGCAGTCCTCTCTATGGTTCTGTGTAGCTTCCCTAGAGTGCATGGAAAGGGAGGATGTAGGAGCAGCTAGCATGAAAACACTGATATCTCTTATGTGACCAACAGGTACCTGCACAATGCAAACTGCTCATCCCACAGTGCCCTGTGCTGTCACCCGAGTTACCTGCAGTTACCAATGGCTCACACTTGGTATAGCCACGACGAAAATAATGTAGGTACCTTCTTCAGGAAAGGAAATATGTCCTTAACATAAAGGTCAAATGGCATTTGTAACAACATTAATAACTTCAGAGCATCGTGCTGTTAGATTCTAGGAATGATTAGACCTGCCTGGCCGTGCTGTTCGGTTGTTTTACAAGAGAGATGCACTGTTTACCTCCTGAGGGATTCAAAAGGAAAAAAAAAATCCAATCTGTATCAATGAGTAAGATATTTTCCTTACCAGAGATATTGATTTAAATATTGACTTCACCACTGGAGGGTTATTTCACTCTGTGCTTCAGATACTCATGGTAAAGTGACATGTGTTTTATGTACTAATAAAGATGTGATTCCTGGGGCACTCATCTTATCTTTAGGGCTTGGACTTTCTGAGTCCCGCTGCTTGGAAGCTACTGTCCTTTCTAAAACTGAGGACTTATTTTCCTCCGAGTGGCAGTGTTCTTTGCTCCATGTGAATCCCTTCTACCAGGATCCAAACAAACAAACCCTAAACATCACACACAGCCCCATTGTCCTATCCGCCAGTCCTCCTTTCAATCTTTCAGCGAGGGCTTTGGGCTCTGCAAGACAGAAGTTCCTTTATTTTAGGAACAGAAAAGGTGCCGCTGCTGAACCTGTTACAGCTCTTCTGGATGCAGCCGGGTGTGCTCTGGGACAGGGCTGCCCAGTCATACAGCTCCCACACCAGTTTGCCAACCCTACCAGGCCTGGGGTCACATCCGTGGCATAGATCAGCAGCCCGGTGCTCATGAAGGCAGCTACATTGCAAACCAGACGTGCCAGCTGCCCCTTGAGCAAAGCACCAGCCTGGGAGCCAAAAAAACCCAACCACAACAGAATAACACCCCATCCCTGTTTCATAGAAACTTCAAGTCATTAAGTTTGGAAAAGACCTCTAAGATCATCTAATCCAACTGCCAATCCATTCCCACCATGGCCACTAGCCATGTTCCTCGCTGCCACATCTACATGCCTCTTGAACACCTCCAGGGATGGTGACACCACCATCCCTCTGGGCAGCCTGTGCCACTGCCTCACCGCTCTTTCTGAGAAGAAATTTTTCCTAATATCCAATCTGAAATATTCATCCCCACCCCTATGACCACCAACTTACAGACTTGTTACCACAACCTGTGGTACTTCGCACCTTCTCCTCTACACCAGCAGATTGAAATGGAGGTGTGATCTGATGCTAGCACTTGCACTTAACTCTTTGGCCTCTTTGGCCAAATGGGTTA